GCTGTCGTGGACGTTGGACATCAATACAATTTTCTAAAAATAAAATCAATTATTCATCTAACCTTGTACGGTACACTGACTGATCACCTAGGTTAGGTGGAATTCTTATATTTCAGAAATAATTATTAGAAAGGTTAAAAAACAGAGCTAAGACAAAACGCCGTTACCACTTCGCTGTTTTGTTTACATCTAAACGTGTCGTTGGTCTGGAGTAGTGAAGTCGGTAAGCACAGGAGTGAGAGGCGCAGGCAGGCACAAGAGACACTCGCGATGAAGGTAATCAAAGAACATTCCACATAGCTATGTCTCTGTCTAGCGCTCCTGTCTAGGTCGTCAATCGTCTGGCTTCGTCCTTTTTGGAAATTGTATAAATGAGAAAGACTAATTAATAATTTTGGTTGGGTTGTATTTTTTCGAATATCTGTTTGCTGTTGTTACTAGTGGTAAAGTTCAATTTAGTTTCCAGATAGAAGGCGTATAAGATAAATCTTCATATTTCTAAGTAGTAAAGCATAATTCTAGTTTCTCTAAAGATATATTAGGTAGTAAAAGACAAATTGGTTTTTGTTTAAAATCTAGTACGGTCGTAAAGAACAATTATTAAACATTATGTGCTTTAGATCCTAAATCTTTAAGTATACTCAATTTATACAATCTATACGATTAGTCATCATGAATCATTTGTGATTTACAGCCACGATTCACATTAAAACTGCACCATAAGCCCTAAAATTTTGGGTAGTAATGAACATTTTTTCGAGAATTTCGCTTTTTTGCAGTTCGCAGTTCGATAGAAAAAGAAAAACTGAAAAATGGTGTAAATAATTTATAGCATACAACTTATAAAATATTCACGTAGCTTAAGTAAGGAAGGTAATAAAAATCTAATACTGAAATAAAACCTAATACTAAATCTAAAATGCATATATAAAGTCACGTTTTAAGTCGTTCTAATGTTCCTAGTATTTATCCAACTTTATCAACGTAACAAAGTCATGATGATTTTTGGTAACCGGAACGACGGTCACGGTTATTTAAAAATAATCCCAAGTCTAGTCGCCTCTTACGAGACACACGGGATAGTATGGATATTCATACGACACCACTACACGGTAATTGATAACTTTTCAAAACATTTTATTTATGGACAACGTCTTGCAATCAGCGTTTCTCTAGCGCTCAATTGACCTTCATACAAATAATGCGATATTTTAACTGTTGATATTTTTTATATTTGGATAAGAACTTAGTATTTACCTTCGTTTAAAAAAATTGTCTTTGGCCTGACTTACTCTATTAGTACATACTATACTCTTTGGCTTGACCATAGATCTAAGTTGGTAGGGGTTATACCGACGCTTGAGTGGTTACATATTCTGTACTCTGTAGGACAGTTAACTCTTTGGTATTCTGAGGCTCAGAAGAGCTAGAACCCAGAGCCGTAAAGCCAGTTTAAAAAAAAATTGGTATTCTGTGATTGACAATGACAATTGACATTTGCATTTTGTAGATTTTTTTTTTGGAGTTTATGGCCTGGTATCTAGACCTTTAGGCCAAGTCTTAAGTATTTTTATTCGGTTTATTGTAATTTCCCCACTCCTTCATAGTATACTGCTTCACAATATGTTGATGCGTCACATTGTGCAGTTCTTGGGAGATTTTGGCGGCAACTTGATCCAGCAGACAGCTGATAGTTGGCGATGGTATCTAAAGGTGCCTATGCAAACAAACAGCTTATCTTGAGAATCCATCACCATCAGAGCACTTGTTTCACTGTTTCCACTAATAGTTCACATGCGTAGACACTTAATACACAAAATTGCAACACTTTTACATATCAAAGTCCACTTCAAACCATTATTTAAACAATAATACAGGAGCAGCAAACCGCCGCCGGTCAATTTCCCGCCAAAACTCCCCATTTTGAAGATACGTTAGTACAGTGTTACCATATGTGACAGGTTCCTGCCATTTTGGAAGGATTGGCCTCTTATTTTAGCCTGTGGCATGATCGGTTGACGTTTTATAAAATCTGGCAGTATTTTGCAGTATTCGGGTATTAAACATAGATTTTAATATGGCCACTTAAAATGCAAATGGGGATAGAAAATAAAAATATGCCGAAAATGGCAACCCTATGTACTTCGCCCAGCATGTGGGGGATTTCCCTGTAGTGTTATGTTTGTAACACATTCAATAAACAACTTTAAAAGTATAGGGTGTAAAGTTGATAACCTTAAAACGAGTATTCGTAAACACGAGTTAATGGTTAATATTTCAATCAGTCATAGAAGAGACGTACTTAAGTTTATTATCGCATTAGATTTCGTGGTGACAATATCTTGTTAGCGATATTTTGTAAATGATGTTTCGTGGACGATAGTAATTATTGGTGGTGATGATGACGCGAAAATATGAAAGGCCGTATATAGCGGAGTGGAGTCAGGTCCTTTACTTTCATCGTGGATCTTCAAAGCTAAAGATAATCAGATCCAAATTGGCATCCCGGATGTCTGCTTTAAAGGAGCATGCCGCTGCTAGTAAACATAAAAAAACATCCGTGAGTGTCGTGGAAAACGCCATTGGAACGAAGTTCCTTTCGTGTAATATTATTGATAAACGTATTATATTATTGATTAACAAATACAAATAAATGAATTATTAGCGTCTAAAATGAAGCGTCATTTAAAATAAAATAACATTTCTTTCATGGCAAAATAATAAAAAGTGCGAGGGAGATGGATATTATTTCATCTCCCTTTCTCGCAAGTCCGTCTACACTACGTCAGAAGGGGTCATGACTGAAAAGATCTTACACTTTTTCTCGCCTAGTCCCCATCCGCCAAATTCGTACCGTCCGATAAGGAACTTCATACCAAAAATATGTTTGGATTCAACATGTGAAAGAATATTCTATCAAATAAATCTAATTAAGACAAAAACACGAAACAGATTTAGATATAAACAAACATGTACCGTCTATCTTGCACGTTAAACAAGTCATTGGTGAGCATGGCGATTACATTGCATTCAAAACAACGAAAGATTTTTAATTTTAATTTAATGAAAATATAGCATTTAAATGTGTATTTTTACCTTTCTTACTTTAATACAATTAGACAATGGTAAATAAAGTTGGCAGTATTGGACATTTTTCACTACAGACTTTGGCAGGGTTTGGCAGGTTTTTAACCAAAGTAAGGCAGGATCTGTATTTTCAAGATGGTCACACTGAGTATCATACATATTATGATATTAGTAGCTTGCTACATATATATTTATCTATGGATAATGGATATTAAGCATGGGCGTTTTCAGATTTTGACTGCATCGGTTACATAACTGATATTTAGTTTTCATATCGTTATTGAAAACCGTTTTCAAATATCGATATCAGTAGTAATGGTTTACAACCGAAACATAACCTAAAATCAGGGGTATGAAAGTCCTCAGTAGCTTGCTTTACGTTGATACTAGTGCCATCTCACAGTAAAAGTACTATATTTCCCGATATTTTTACATAATTTATTAAAAGATGGCGCCACTGTGGGTATTTATTATTTATACCGAAGCCTAAATCATGCTAGCTTAGCAGCAAAGTTTTGAAATACGCCGGTATATATATAGAATAATTCATTGTAATTTTTTTTTTCAAACAAACAATAAATATTTACTTAAAACAAATTAGTTAATATTTAAATTAAATTAAATTGATTTCCTTTTAATTTTATTGAAATATGTACGAAATAATACTGAACCTAGGTGATGCGCCCTTTAGTGTAATTTTCAGTAATTTATAATCCCTACGCCATCTATAAAAGCGCAGAAGAAACTTTCCTCGTTTCGTTACCTAATTACTTCTCAGAGTGGCTCATCTATGCCTGAAAACTGTAGAACGAGTGCAACATTTATTTTACAAATTACTTCGATTATTTTAGTTTAAAAGTCAGAGGCTCTAATATAATCTTAGATGTAATATTTAGACATGTATTTTAATATATAATTTATGATTTTTATGCTGTAATATAGTATTATAAATGTCTAAAATTACATTCTTTCTATTCTCATTTATTTCTATAATGTTTATACCCATATTTTTTTAAAGTGAGGCGTAGGATCAGAGTTTGATTTCGAAATCTATAATTAAACTGTATTCATAAGTAGTAAACATAATTTATTTATATATATATATATATATATAGAAAATTATTATATGTACATAGTTTATTATTATTATTATATTAATAATCATTATTTTTTATAATGATTATTTAAGTTGGCGATTTACCTTCATATACTTAATTAGGCTTAGGACTGACAGGAAAGTTTTAAAACAAATGTACAAAATGCAAACAAATATATACTACAAATAAATGCACAAACGCAACGTCAAAAATTAATAATTTTACAGATAGTTTCATAGTGAACGGCACATCACCCCACCAATGTCAAGTGCGTAATTGTTACGTTTGAAAAAAAAATCAAATTCTAACTTTCACATAAATAAAAGTTGCCTAAACCAAATATAATGTGATGAAACAAATCTAAGTCTAGTGCCTAATGTCCTAAAGGTCATTTAAATCTGACAACTCTCACAACTACACAAACTTAAAAAATTAGGCAATTTTAACCATTTAAAATTCGAGCTTATTGTTATGAATCTTATAATTATATTTCACTACGTGCACTGTTTTATGATAACAACCAAAACATCGCAACCAAATCCATATTCGCTTCATCTCTTTCATACGTATTTATGATACTGTCGCTAGAACGAGAAACAACGAATATCAAAGGACATCGGTTAGTTTTGGTTTTGGGCCGTTTTCGGTTATTGGCATATCGTTTTGCGTTTTACGTTTCGTACATTGGTTAGTTTGGGTTTTGGTTAGATATGTGATAACGGTTATGTTCTTAGGTTTATCGATATGATATGATATTTGATAACATAACGTTATGAGTTACGTTTTGATATATCGGTCTCATGCCTAATGGATATTAGTCTGTGGTAGACAATGTTGATGTTGATGGTGAATGTAGGAATATTTTCATTTGAATTCGAATAATTACTTAAAATGAATAACCGGAAATAAACACATTTATTTATTTTAAATTATAAACACTAAAAGTAGAAGCAATGTTTTTCTACGAACGTTTTTGTCAATGGTTGGGCCATTTAAAATTATCTCGAGTTATTGTTATGGTTTCAGTGATACTTTTTGTGGTGCCACTTTTTACTCACTATTATTTATCTAAGGTAAAATGTATATTTCACCCTTATCTTAAACGTAAATTACATAGTTGTTCTGTAGTAATTTGTTTATGTTCAATATTTTGTGTAATTTTAATTTCTATTATACATCAAAGAATTATTTTCATTGGTTATGGATTAAACCGGCCTCCTTATTTCATATTTCAGCACTTATGTAATAAGTTATTGCATTTTTTTTAGTATGAAACATCATCCATCTCCTTAGGGAGTAGTTCTGTGAGACATACTTTGGAAGCTCTTGGAGATATTTCAACAATGAATGTTGTTGATCTTAAGCTGAGAATTGAAGAAATGCTTAGAATTAAAGTGAGTTCTGTATTTTATTATTATTATTATTATGAGCTTTATTCATTAAAAAGAGTTCTGTATTTTATTATTATTATTATGAGCCTTATTAATTAAAAAGAAATGACCGAGGGTGTGTCGGGCCACATACAATAGGGTTCCATAGTTGCCCTTAACCCAGGGTTCGTCGCTAGGCAATTATGAATACAAACAGCGGCTACTGGATATAAGTTACCAAATTATTTATAGCTCCCTATTTAAATACATTGATAATGATATTGAATTTTTTGATATGTTTGCTTGTACTATGAGCTATAAATTAAAAATAACATTTATACATAATAAAAATTTATTTATTAATATTTAAGGCACTTACAATAAAGAGAACAAAAATCTTAATTTTTTTTTCTTTATATATCATGAAATCTCAATAATTACAATTTTTTTTTTCTTTGGAATCATGCAAAATAAGATTAGATAATATAACAAAACACTGCTGTTACAAACTAACAAAAATAAATTGTACTTTTACAATAAAATTTCTTGTGGTAAATGGGGATAGAAAATAAAAAAAAATAAGTATTTGTGTTTCGTACCATAAATATAGTTAATTATTTTTCACTTTTGTCTTGGTTGTTTTCGTCTATACCCAAAATAAACTTTATTTTAGTTTTTATGGACTGTGGCAAATTAACAACCTGCAATCTGTGGTGTATAAGAGGCATCACTAATCCTTTGGCTAATTCTTTCAACTCATCCCTTCTTGGGCCATTCAAAGCTCCTGAGTGTACCTTATTACTTTTGACGATAACATAGTCATTGATACCCCCGACATTGAGAAGTCCATAAAATATAACTAAAGGCTATCTTTTAGTTCCACGTGACACTGAGTAAGCTCCACACAGCTCATCTTCGACATTGACACTGCATTTATCTTGGTTTTAATCAAGAATCATTTCGGGTTTATTTGCTTCTCTAGAACATTTTCTACCATTATGGTGTATAGTGGAAGCAAGCAGCACGTTTTTCTTTTCCTTTGGTACATACGAGACAGAGATGCAATCGTTTTTGAAATATAGAGCTGGGTATGCCTCGATCGATGATATATCTCGATCTTGGGTGGTTGTAAATATCAGAGGAATCTCAGCTTTATTTTTTTTTAAAGTTCCCAACGCAGTTAAGACCATAATCTTTCAGTAAATCATGGAAAAGTGGAAAACTAGTAAACCAGTTATCCATTACTTACCATGTTCCGGTAGCTATTTTTTATTGGTTCCACCATCTGTTTTACAACATCAATTGCTGCAGTACGGGAATGGAGGGAAGTGAAAGTCACATTCATACCCAAACCAGGTAAGAGCGACTACACTGACCCTAAATCCTATAGGCCCATTAGCCTCACATCCTTTCTCCTAAAGATGATGGAGAGGATGTGTGAAAGGGAGTTAAGGGGGTCGGCACTAATGAACTTACCACTACACGACAAGCGACACACCTACAGTCTAGGCAAATCAACAGAATCGGCACTTTAGCAGGTAATTACAAGGATTGAAGAGGCCATCCAAAACAAAGAAATATGTCTAGGTTTCTTCATAGATATAGAAGGTGCTTTTGACAGAACAAACTTCTCCAGCATAAAAGGTGCACTCAGTAGACATAAAGTTGAACCGGCACTGATTGACTGGATAGTATACATGCTCAGTACACGAGTAATAAAGATTGCTGGTGAATCTCAACCAATCCAAATTAAGAAAGGCTGCCCGCAGGGTGGGGTTCTCTCACCTCTCATGTGGAATATGGTCATCAATGAACTCATCAGCAAATTAAATGCCAATCACTTCTACACAGTAGGTTATGCTGATGACCTGACAATACTGGTCTCTGGAAAGACAGCAAGCATAGTGTGTGACCTGACCCAAGCGGCTCTCTGTATAGTGGGGAGAAGGTGCAGGGAATACGACTTAACCGTCAATCCAAATAAAATGGTTCTAGTAATGTTCACACAAAAACGAAAGCTGAATAACTATCATCTTCCAAGTCTTTTCAGCACAAAACTCCAGCTATCCTCTGAGGTAAAATATTTAGGTCTTACCTTGGACAGCAAACTTAACTGGAATAAACACATATAAAACAAAATCAACAAAGCTAGTATAACTTTCTGACAATGCAGAAACATGATTGGCAAAAGATGGGGATTGACACCAAAAATCATACTGTGGCTTTACAAAACTGTAATTCAGCCCATGATCACATACGGCTCTCTGGTATGGTGGACCAAGACAAATGAAGCCACCACTATAAAGAAGCTTCAGCGCTACCAGAGACTAGCATGTATGGCTGCCACAGGCTGCATAAGCACTACGCCAACAGCAGCCTTAGAAGCGATGTTGGAGCTAACCCCACTTCATCTACATATACAACAAGAAGCGACTTTAGCTGCCATCAGACTCAAGACCCTAAATCTTTGGAGTAAGAATAGTGTCCCTCATACAGGCATAATTGATAGAATTCACTCAAAAATTCCTATCCTACAAGCCAAGTATGATAAAATTCCTAAACAATTTGTTTTCGATAAGAAGTACAAGATACAATTAAATGAAACCAGCCAGCCGGAAGGATTAAACCCAAAAGAGCTTAGAGTTTTCACCAATGGTTCTAAAACAAATGAAGGTGTAGGTTCTGGAACTTTCTCTGAAGACCTCAATATTCACATATGCACACCGCTGGGTACCTATAACACAGTCTTTCAGGCGGAATGTATGGGTATCATTCAAGCGGCCATAGCAATAGATGCTAGGAAGGTTAATGAATTCCCCATCAGAATACTGACCGACAGTAGAGCGGTACTACAAGCTCTGAGTTGCAATGCGGTGAACTCAGGACTAATATATGAATGCCATCAACGATTAAATGAGGTATGTAAAAACAACAATGTGACTCTGCAATGGATAAAGGGACACAGTGGATCCAGAGGCAATGATGCAGCAGACGAACTGGCCAGAAGAGGATCGGCTCTGGCCACTATAGGGCCGGAACCAATCATACCAATCCCCTTTGGTAACATTCGTTCACTGGTACGTAAAAGTCTAGTAGACTGCAGACAAGCTAGGGAGGCCCTGCCTGAAATAAACAGTCGCTTAACCAAAGTTTTAATGAGACTGAACAAGCTGCAGATCAGGATAGTAACAAGTGCTATCACAGGACACGGCACCTTTAACAAACATTTATTTACTATAGGTGTTACAGATAGTCCCCTGTGCAGGGCATGTATGCGGGAGGAAGAAACGGGGGCCCACGTGCTACTGAAATGTCCGGAGGTCGCTACGTACAGGGCTAAACATCTCGGCACGCCGGGAGTTGCATGCAACATCAAAGGATTGTTGAGCTTCTTCGGGGAGATCTCATGGCTCGAATAATCACATTATTCCTGCCCACACGCAAAATACGCGCATAGACGTGGAGTTGCGGAAAACAGCCCGTCGTAAACTAACTTAACTGCTGCATTACTCTTCTGAAAAGGTCCATTGTTTTGTCCGACATAAACCTCCATAATTCCCATGTAGAAACTCTGAACATCAGCCATAACAAAAATTTTGATACCATATTTTCCAGGTTTACTAGGAATGTATTGCCTAAAAGGGCAACGGCCACGAAACTTCTCCAGTTTTTCGTCAATGGTGACATTCTCTCCAAATGAGTAATGCTTTTTTATGTTTGCATTGAAGTCGTCAAAAATCTCACGAAGAGGTACAAATTTATCCTCTGATCGTCGCTCTTCGCGTGTATACATATTATCGAAACATAAACATTTCAATAAGAAATGAAATCTTTGATGTGACATAGCTGCTAAACACAAGTCAAAACCGCTACCATCTGTTGCCTAGATATCATTTGTATTGAGGCGCGAGCTTCGCATTCGCCCACAAAAGTACAATAATCCAAACAGCTTGCAGTTCCACAAAATCTGTGCCTTTGCAATCTCAAACTTTCAATATAAATGTTTGTATAATTGACAATTTTTTGCAGATATTCATCCGGAAAGATCAAATTCCAAGCTTCTAATGGTGAAACAATCTTTGGCTGCTCTTATTGACCATGGCAAATAAATAATAATATATAAGACCTCGTACATACATTCTGTTGTAGTTGTTGTACAAGCCATTGAGTTCTTCCATTTCGGCCAATGAATTTCCCACGTCTAATATATTTCAATGGTACATCATCTAAATACTCTTGTCCCAATTGCGCAGGTAATGTTGGCTCTCCCTCTTCTTCAAACTGCAAGGGATATCGGGGAAATCATCAGAATCCTCTTCCTGCTCAGTACCGCTGGCATGGTTACTATGCTCCTCATAATTCTCGGTTTCTGGGTCGATTTCTCCATCGAATCATACATGATTGTAAGCTGTTATTTAAAAGAAAAACGTCCCGCTTGGTTTCTTGCTGGTTCTTCCCAGGACAGAGGGTTTTTTTCGAACCAGTGGTAAAGTAAAAAATGACTTTCAATAAGAATTACACATGTAATGTATATTGAATAAAAAATATTCTATTCTATTCTGATACAATTTCATCGTCACTATCTTGTTGCAATATTTCTTCTATAGTGCTATCTCTCCTTGAAAAATTCATGGTAATTAAGTGCTAAAACAAAAAAAAACATTTAAAGGTAATAAAAAAAGTAGTTACATGAACGCTCTCTACGAGGTATTTTTCACCCATACTCACTTCTCACGTCCGCTGCCGCTGATCACACGATGCTAACTGACAGCCGCGCGGGGAGCACGGCTCTTGTTTCTATGCCGAAAGGTATTTAAAACGTCAAGTCGCTAAATTACGTATAAAAAAAGATATTTGTGTTTTTATTACATCTGTGGTATTTTTCACCCAGTAGCGACGAACCCCAGGTAAAATATATGTGAACTTGAAGGTGCCTTCTTGATACTATGAGCTTATTAAGTGAGTTTGCGGTTTGACTGCTAAACAACTAAAAACTAACAATACTATAACAACTAAAAATCTTCAACTTATGTTCCAAGCAGACTTATTTAGGGAGTGGTATACAAAAAATATTTAAAAAAAGCTTTTAAATTTTTTAAATAATTGTATTATTTCTTCTTTTCCTAAATTATTCATTTTCTACATCAAATTATTCAGAAGCCAAGTCGGTGTCAAAATGTTCATAGTTCCCTATTCATCGATTAATTCCCGGCAGTGCAAGCCTATGATATACATGACTGTAATGAACCTTTGCCTAAACCACCACTGCCGTAAACTATCCTAAAGATTGCCTGCACAAACCAAGAGTATCTAAACTGTAGGATTACAATAACTACTAACTAAAAATAAAAGCAAAAGTGGAATGTTAGGATAGACTTTACCAGTTCCTGTCCAAATTGAAATGCAGTATGTTATATGCAGTGTGCCAATGCAATGTATATTTTGTTTAATAAATCTAATGTAGAACCTGTCTATAAAGTTTCGAAAATACAAGTTAATTTTCTTACTCTGTTAGCTACAAGATTAGTATGGGAGGTCCAGGGGAGATTGGTCTATTATTACTCGTAAGTATTTTGTATGTGAGATTTTGTTAATTTTTTCACAACTACACCTAGAATGTTATAGGGATTACTTGTTGTTTAACTACAAAAAATATGCGTGAGTGTTGTGATACACTCAGTTGTAATGAAGTTCATTTGGTAGTATATTATTATTGATAAACATATATTATTTATTAAAAAATACAAATAAATGAATTACTAGCGTCTATTAAAATGAAGTGTTATTTAAAATAATATATGAAAATAATATTTCTTTCATGGCAAGATAAGAAAAAGTGCAAGGGAGATGGATATTATTCTATCCTGCTCGCACTATAGAAAGGGGGCCTTCACTTTCTCTCACCTAGCCTCCATCCACCGAATTCGTAATGTGCTTTAAGGAACTTCGTTTCAAAACAATTGACAGCTAAGATTCAGCTGTCAATTGTTTTGAAACGAAGCACACGAATTTACTAAGAATTTCTTTAAATATTCAGATAATGTTTTCTTTAAAACTAAAATGAAACTAAAAGGGGCCGTATTTAGAAAGGATCTGTGTAAAACAGTTTTATTAATATAAAAACATATGATCTTTATGTTCTTTATGTGTTTCAAGTAATTTCCTATAAACAAGACATAAATTCATAACAGTGTTATGAATTTATGTAAAAGTATAAAATATCACAGCCTATATTCTCGAACATACAGTTTTCTTCACAATGTTTTGTTTTACCGCTGTATATGTGGTAAATCAACTAGTAAGTTGGCAAAACAAAGCATTTATTTGCTTGGTATTCGGGCAAAGTGACAAATCGTAAATAAATGAGATTAAAAAAAATTGCTTTAGGGGAATATATATATATACACCATAATTTATTACTTTTTTATTACATTATTACCTTACTTTACAAAATATCTATAGTGGCCCAAAAGACACATCACCAATTTCATTTCAATATAAGTATTATTATCACGTTTTGTTTTTCCCTACAGTACATACTGCAGAAACAGAAACAGAAAGTTTTTCTATTATATATAGATTATAAATAATACGTATTTCAAGTCTCTCTTTTGTTTATTTACCACTGGTTCGAAAAAATCTCTATCCTGGGAAGAACCAGCAAGAAACAGGGGGACATTTTTTTAAAAATAACATCTTACAATCACTGCGGCTATTGTCTTTAATAATTTTGGTGGAATTATGTGACACAACATAAGATAAAACTAAAATGAATAAGGAAAATTTAAAAACTGTAAAAATGATAATGAAATCTTAATGAAAATAAAATTCACAAAAATCATTTACTACATGTTTTTAGTTTATACAAGATTTTTGTTGCTAGGCAGTTTAACTTTAATTAATATTATGTCTTCCTGGCTGTTCATACTGTATCTCGACAGCTGTTTACAAAAGCTGAAAGATAGCTGTTTGGGTGTGAAATTGGGTGACAATAAAGTAAATTGTCTGCTGTATGCTGATGATGCAGTGCTTATTGCACCATCATAGGCAGAACTGCAGGCATTAGTCACGTGTATGAAAGAGGAATGTGAAATTAAAGGTCTCCGTTTGAACGCTAATAAAACTAAGGTTCTGGTATTTGAAAGGGACGAAGAGAGAACGAAGTGTGAAATATGGGTAAATCAGGAATGTCTAGAACAAGTAAATGAAATTGTATACTTGGGGAGTGCTTTTAGCCGGGATGGAAGATGTGATTTAGACGTGGACAGGCGTGTCGCTGCCGGGAACAAAGTCAATGGTGCCCTGACTGCGTTAGTCAAAAGGCAAGGCGTGGTGAAGAGTGCACGCCTTGCAATACATAACGCAGTGTTGGTACCGACTTTGTTATATGGCAGCGAAACCTGGGTATGCCAGAAGAAGCATAAAAGCAAGTTGAATGCAGTGGAGATGCGATCTCTTCGTAAAATGTGCGGCGTTACCATGGCCGACCGAAAGCGAAACGAAGAGATTCGCAATATGGCAGGTTTGAAAGATGACCTTATCACGAAAATTGATAAGGGCGTGCTTCGGTGGTTTGGGCACGTTGAGCGAATGAGTGAAGACCGAATGGTGAAGAAAATATATAGCGCGAAAGTTAATATTAAAAGGTGTCGAGGTAGACCGAGACTAACTTTCGAAGACCATGTGAGCAAATTGCTCGAAGAGGGTAGGGTCAAGAGTACTCGGATACCTAGACGTGCATGTATGAAGAAGATAATGAATCTGAAAGAAGCGAAAGAGGTATGTAAGGATCGTGACACTTGGCGATCTGTTCTCTCTGGATACCCCGTCAGGGATTTTGCGTGAAGATAAGTAAGTAAGTAATATTATTTTATTGAAATCAATGTCAATATGTTTATTTAACTAGTTCCTGTAGCATAACCATGCTTTCTTGTGGATTCAAAATTATGGACGATCTTGTACTCTGGTGACTACCTTGAATGTGACGGATGTCACATTCAAATTAGTAGTTGTGATGCAATCTGTATTATAAAAATGCTCTAAGGGGGTAATATTCTAAAGACGTGTACTTATGTTTACAAATGTATGTATGTATGTATGTTTATTTTTTGATAAATTTGCTCATTTCACATTTCTTTAATTATATTTTAAGTAAATAAACAAAAAACTTCTTGCAACAGGCTTCTGTGTCGACTGAACTCAGAGAATTGGAAGAAAAACGCGGCAGATTACAACGGGAGGCTGCAGCTGCAAGCGCTAAGGCCGATAATGTCAAGGCCGAATATGCGCGGGCGACAGCAGAATTACAGCGGCTTCGCGTCTCTGCAGACCAAGCTCGGCTTGCGCAATTAGAGGCTATACGTCGTGATACTCCTGAACTAGCTCCCCCTGCTCAAATACTTCCGTCTCAACCACCATCAATTCTTCCATCTATAAAACCTTCCGCCGAAATACACTGCCGTATGCATTCCTGTTTCGATTACTCCCGTTGCTCCTTGACGTCCGGTTTTCCCATTTACTTTTATGATCCTGATATTTTCTCACCTTTGGCTGGTGCTGAAGTGGATGGCTTTCTTAAGACTACATTGCGTCAGACGCTCGGTTACAATGCTCATCTTACGCAAAACCCCAGCGTAGCGTGCTTGTATATTGTTCTGGTCGGAGAATCATTCCCTTTTGAAAAATCTGTTTTGTAAGTTTTATGTTACTGTATTTTATTTAATATTTCTCTTATTAGTTACAACTGTGCACTGTATGTCTATTATTGTAATTGCAGACCATCAACAGAACCTTACAAATTGATGTTGAATGAGACAGCAATAAAGACTTTACCATACTGGGGAGGAGATGGCCGTAATCATGTATTACTAAATTTAGCTAGACGGGAGTTGTCAGTTGGGTCGGGTGATGGTTTTACTGGAGTCTCGATTGGAAGGGCAATGATTGCACAGTCTACATACAAGTTAGATCAATTTCGTCCAGAATTTGACTTGGTGACACCGCCCGCTCTCGGTCCGCCAGGCGGAGATGTATGGGCTGATTGTGCGCCTATTGCGCCGGCCAGACGGAAGTATCTTCTCAGGTATGTAAACTGTGTTTTTCTTTTAAAGCGCATGTTAGAGTTTTTGTGTACGTTCATAAGCTACATTTAGTTTTCAGGGTTCTCAATCAACGACGAATTCGATTAACCGAGACAACGACACGTTTTTAATAGATGTCCTCCAAAAAATGGCCAGTGCTGGCCCTGCGTCTGATTTATTCTATTTGCAATTCGAATGTGATCCGCCTGTTGAAAAGCACGCGATTATACCCATTGGTGATTGGGCATTATGTGGAACTGACAGATCAAGACGATCAGTATTAAAAGATTCAACTTTTGTATTAATACTGGCCCCCGGAGACAGTAGTTACACTACAACAGCATTACTACAAGCAAGGCTTTATGAAGCTTTACGTTCTGGAGCTATACCGGTGCTTCTCGGTGGGGATAGAATTCGATTACCATATGACGAAGTACTTGATTGGCGTCGCGCAGTTCTATCTTTGCCAAAGGCGCGCGTTACAGAACTGCACTTTTTGTTGCGAGCGTTATCAGATTCCGATTTGTTAGCGTTTCGAAGACAGGGGAGAGTATTATGGGAACGATATTTGAGTTCAGTGCAAGCTAATATAGATTCATTGCTGGCAACGATTAGAACGCGGCTTAATATACCAGCGCTTCCTGCTTCGCCGATTATGGGTACTCCTGCATTCAACGACTCGTTCTCCCCGCCTAAACTTGAACCGCCAGCAGTAGACACAGAGCCCGAAGAAACTTTGGGTCCACTAGAAGCCCCTTATCCAAGTCCAGCATATCGACGGAATTACTCATTGTCATTACTGCATGGTTACGAGATGTGGAATGAGTGGGGTGAACCATTTTCTCTTTACCCGCAATTACCATGGGATCCCCCAGTGACATCCGAGGCGAGGTTTATGGGCTCTGCGGCGGGTTTCAGACCTATTGGTGCTGGAGCTGGTGGTTCGGGCAAAGAATTCAGCGAAGCTTTGGGCGGAGATCGACCTAGGGAGCAATTCACCATCGTCATACTTACGTATGAGCGAGAATCAGTGCTAGCAGCAGCGCTAGCTCGCCTTCGCGGATTACCTTATTTAAATAAGGTAGGTTTTGGTTTCATTTACAACTAAAGTTATATTAATATATTATTTTTTCACAGTCCACAACAACAAAAGGTAGAAAATGAATGTGTACTTACCATTTTAGTATAACAAATCCTACCAAAAAAAATATATAAATGTTACTAAGGGGCCAAGTCCGGTACAAATTACATTCGGGAATGGTGGCTTCGCCGATGAAAGAGTTGGGATCTAGATGGGCGCCAAGTTCCATATAGAATCTATAGGAAAGTACAACGTTCTTGAAACTGCTAACGAGAAGGTTCTATGTTCGAAATGTGTGTTGTATTTTTTTTTATAGAATATGGGTGACAAACGATCACACAGTCTACAGCAACCACTTACTGATGGTAAGTAGTTGCTGTGGCCCATAGACATCTACATCTATCTTCGTTTGCGAATTAAAATGCAGATGCGTTGTCAGCCGTGAGGACAAAGATAGAATGCCTCTTTTCCATTAAAAAGGGTCTCCGGTTCTCTACACTCACCATACGAAACACAGCAGCATTAACCTGCTATTTTACGCTGGTATTCTGTGAGAGCGTGGTCCTTCCCCGGTTGAGTCGACCCATTCGTGCTACAACTATGCTATAATTAATATAGCTGCAGCATAGCTCTATCACGTGTAAAAATGTTATGTATGATCACTGATTTCTCGGAATTGGCTGAACGGATTATTATGTTTCTTTTTTTTATTAAATAGACTATACTTCAGGTGTGCTTCATATAAACTATATGCTATATAAACTTAAAGTAAAATTTCCACCTCTAAGGGTAGAAAAAAATAAAACTTATATTTTAATGAAACTACTTTAACGACATTCTATTTATTATTTTGAACCTGTGATATTCATTAAACTCATGATCATGTCTAGCTGTAGACTGTTCACAGAGACGATTATGATTGCTGTTTTAGGTGGTAGTGGTGTGGAATGGTGTGACGCCGCCGACGCCGGCGCTGGCGTGGCCGGACTGCGGGGCGCCGGTAGCCGTGGTGCGCGCCTCGCGGAACTCGCTTAACAACAGATTCCTTCCTTATAACCTTATCGAGACCGAAGCTGTGCTATGCGTTGACGATGACGCCCATCTCAGACACGACGAGATCGTGTTTGCGTTTAGGTAAACTTAAAGATAACCGGCCCTATTTATAAAAATCGGAGGAAATCGAATTATTTTTCTACAATGAAAGTAGCCTAAGTTACTCGTTATGACATCAGCTATCTGCCAGTGAAAGTCCCGTCAAAATCGTTCCAGCCGTTTCGCAAATTAGCTGGAACAAACGGACAAAAATTTTAAAAAGTGTATTTTTGTTATAAGTACCATACTTTTTTTTCTCTTTATTTGGATCACCAACAGACGATACACAATACTAACAAAAATATAACTTAACAATGCGACTACATGCTATGTGTTCATCTTCTTACATGTAACCACAACTTACATAAATAGCGAAGTGATTTTTTTAAAAATAGAAAACAGATAGTTATATGATAATAAATATACATGGAAAACCAGATTTGATATAGCTACAGTTTGTGGATTTCATGCTTACATTCTATATATAATATTGATATTAAATTAAATCTACTAATTTTTTTACATATTTCTGAAATATTTATGGATCAAATACTTAAATCTTGACAACGGTGTATACATTATATCTATTTCTATGGAATTTGGTATACGGTTGTATAGTGACATCATTATGGTAAGTGGGGGGTTACGACCTAAACTACTTTTACAGAGACGCTCTTTAAACAGCTTGTAAACCTTAAAGCGCGGTAACTTATTTGGCACAGATATACCTAGTCAGGTCATAAGTATTATCACACAGTAAAAACTTTTCTTTTAGAACGCTGACCACAAAAAAGTTTATTGAATTCGAATTTCGAATTGTTCATGAAAATAAAAGTGTATACTTTTTAGAATTTTACTCATTTTTAAATATAGAGTCGACGCTTAAAGAAGACCGTGTTGCAGTTATTGCGTTGCATCGTTACGGTTACGCGCCAATTCAAATTTTTGACATACTGAAAAATTTGAATATAACCAAAAGATTCGTTTATCGTACCATCAAACGATACAATGAAGACTCTAGTGTAGATGACAGGTCAAGAAGTGGTCGCCCTCGGTCTGTTAGGACTCCAGCAGTGATAAAAGCTGTGAAGGCGCGAATTCAAAGAAATCCCAAACGTAAGCAGAAGCAGTTGGCCCTTCAGATGGGGTTAAGCAGAACCACGGTGGAAAGGGTGTTAAATGAAGACTTAGGGCTTCGGGCATATCGAAGAAAAACAGGACATCGTTTGAATGCTCGTCTAATGGACCTGAGACTGAAGAGATGCCGCGCTTTGTTGAAGCGGTACGCGGGAAAAAAATATCGGGAAATTCTTTTTTCGGATGAAAAAATTTTTACCGTAGAAGAGAGCTACAACAAACAAAATAATAAGGTGTACGCACACAGTAGTGAAGAAGCGAGCAACCGTATTCCGCGTGTCCAACGAGGTCATTTTTCATCCTCGCTCATGGTATGGTTGGGAGTTTCTTATTGGGGCTTAACAGAGGTACATTTTTGTGAGAAAGGTGTAAAAACGAATGCAGTTGTGTATCAAAATACAGTCCTGACGAACCTTGTGGAACCTGTTTCTCATACCATGTTCAATAACAGGCACTGGGTATTCCAATAAGATTCGGCGCCAGCTCATAGAGCGAAGAGCACACAAGACTGGCTGGCGGCGCGTGAAATCGACTTCATCCGGCACGAAGACTGGCCCTCCTCCAGTCCAGATTTGAATCCGTTAGATTACAAGATATGGCAACACTTGGAGGAAAGGGCGTGCTCAAAGCCTAATCCCAATTTGGAGTCACTCAAGACATCCTTGATTAAGGCAGCTGCCGATATTGACATGGACCTCGTTCGTGCTGCGATAGACGACTGGCCGCGCAGATTGAAGGCCTGTATTCAAAATCACGGAGGTCATTTTGAATAAAATTTAGTGTCATAAGAATCTATGTTTTGTTAAGTTCATTTTGGTATATAAATGGTTACATAATGAATAAACTTGTTTCAATTATTTTATATTAAACATGTGACAGAATTTATGACCTGACTAGGTATTTATTTTACTTAGAAGTTGCGGGCAGTCAATATGGTTATGTAATAATTTGTGCAAGAACATAAGATCTAGTTTTTTCCTTCTATTGTTAAGTGTTGTAATTTTAAAATAAGTATTTAAGTTTTTTATCATATGAATTAAATAAATGTGATTTCTTTGTGTGGTGACATAAAAAGCACAAAAATCGCTTTTGATTTTTTTCAATACAGTTCTTGTGTACTTCATAAAATGGATTCCAGACTTGAGGACAGTATTCCAGAATACTCCTTACTAATGTATTATATAGCAATATAATAGTTTTAGGGTGCTCAAATTGTCTAGAATTCCGCATAATAAAACCCAACATTTTGGAGGACCTTTTTATGATATCATCTAGGTGAGTATTGAAACTTAATTGCTGTCAATCATAACACCAAGATCTCGGATAATAGAAGCCGGTTCTAAAGGTGTATTATTTATCTTATATTGAAATAAATAAGGTTCTTTGTTACGTGAGAAAGTTATGACGTGACACTTATTCATATTCAAAAGCATTTTATTGTCTCTGTCACCAATTACACAATCTATCAATGTCCTCTTGTAGCAATACACTATCACTAATGCTTCTTATTGGCCTTAACACCTTAAGATCATCCGCAGAAATATAAGGCTCTGAGTTAGGAAAGCAATTAACTATATTGTTTATAAATATTGAGAACAAGTGCGGACCAAGGTTTGAACCTTGAGGAATACCTAATGTGACGACAAATGTTTTCGATCTAGCTCCATTGACAACCACAAACGATTGGCGGTCTTTTAAATAGGCCGCAAACCACTGTAAATTAGAGCCCCCAATACCAAAGTGAGACAATTTATGAAGAAGTATTTCATGGTCTACCTTGTCGAATGCCTTGCTAAAGTCAGTATATATTGTATCGACTTGAATGCGTTGATCAACGAATTCCGTCAAGGTTTCGACAAAGTCGACCATGTTCGTGTTAGTGGATCTACCTCTGATAAATCCATGCTGCTTATTTGTTAGCTGAGTTTTAACATGGTTGTATAGATAAGAATAGATAATACTTTCAAATACTTTTGAGAAAATAGATAGAATTGATATTGGTCTATAATTTTTTATGTCTCGCTTAAAGCCATCCTTATGAATTGGCACAATTTTAGTTACTTTCACATGCAATTAGTAAAACTCTGTAATTCTGACATTACAAACAGACACTTTAATTTTATTTATTTGTATAGAGTGCATATTTGTATAGATTGCAACGAACAATTCAAAAGTACAGCCAGGCATCTAATATGGGTTGCTCGCGTACCTAGTATAAAATATACGGCAAGAGCTTAGTCCAGTTCAGTTACCACGATACTTTGGTTCTTAAAAATTTTACGCATTCACCACTTCTACTGATTCATATATTAGCAATTACTTTATAATATTAACAAATTTATGGATGATAATAATCCCTGGGAATGAGGTGATCGCTACCAAGCTAGTTCTAATTTGTTTTGTGTGTTTAATTGTGTATCATACATGATTGTAAGCTGTTATTTAAAAGAAAAAGGTCCCGCTGGGTTTCTTGCTGGTTCTTCCCAGGACAGGGGTTGTTCTTCGAATCAGTGGTAATTAAAGAAAAGAGTGACTTTCAATAAGTATTATTTATAATTTATATTGAATAAAAAAGTTTCTAATTAATAGAATCAGGCGTTACTTTGCGGAAATCCATCATAATGGGGTTGTTATAAACTAAATTCCGCGTAAAGAAAAAAAGAAAATGATGTGTCCTGCCCAGTTTTAAGGGGACCTCCCACCCTCTAAGGAGACCTCCCACCCTCCTTCAATCGCGCGCACTATACCCGTCGCCGTGAATCCCAGCACTACCACCCCCAGAACCACCACACTAGGCACGACACACCACTCTCGAAAATACGACACGTGTTTCGCCTCTACACGAGGCATCCTCAGGTGAAGTAGACTGCGGAGGCTGGCCGCTGCGGCCAGCGTGGACAAGACACATCATTTTATTTCTTTCTTTACGCGGAATCAAGCAAATTAGTTTATAACAACCCCATCAAAAAAGTTTCTGTTTCTTATGAAATTTCCATTTTGTATGAGACATTGAAAATGTGATCCGATGTTGTCATACAGACGTAATGGCAAAGAGTAGTTCACCAATTTGGATTATTTGAGTGTCAGCTTCTCAAATATCTTTTGCGATTATTGACAATAACGCACAGTTTGTTCCTTAGTGCTAAGTCTTTATAGGTACTTCCTTGGTATGACGTGTCGGTTAAAACTTAGAAGTCAATTTGAACTTTAATACCATACTGTTACGGCCCACAGCTGCCCCTGCAAAGATCGCCTTGGCTAGGGCCCATAGTAGCCTCTTCGACGGTCAGCCGTGGGTACGGGCCCAAATGGCCTTATGCAAAATGATCTATCATACTACAAAATAAGGAGAAGGCTAGGAAGATAAATGGTACGTACCTGCATCCGAATCTAAGACCGCCCCAAGGCTCGGTCAGACCGTAGGTAGAGTATCTGTATGTAAAGTGGTGTTTAGTGGTGTGTATATGAGGGTGACCTGGCCCAGCTGAGGTGACCTGGCAGCGCGACGGTTTCCATGCTGCCCCACAATGCTGCATCACTCCAGCAGGCGTCCACAGTACACACCATGGACAGTTTCTTTCTTCATGGTCACTATTTCAGTCTATTAACTCCATTGTACATTTAACTAACTTCAAGTCGACCAATTCAACGTTCATTGCAGAATCTAACACGTGATACCCGACACAGTAACGGACAGTAGTTCAAAGTTCAACATTCAATGTCCCGGATTCATTTATCACCAAATTACAAATAGGGAACAAACGCGATCTTCTCATGAGTCACACGGCTCAGCGTTACAAACACAACTAAGTTCATTCGTTCGATATTAAACACCACGCCGCAATAAGAATTCAAAATTAACCTAACTGACACGTAAACTAGCTACCGAATCAACACACAAAAGGCTCTTAACGCGACGGTATAATTAAACGATGATTTCCAAACAATCAACCGGAAGACGCCGTCGATAAAAGATTCGCGGTCAAATTCCACGTCCCCGAGCAAGTAAAATTTTGTAAAATGCACTTCAACGCGCCATCACTATATAATTGGAGCAATTACTTTCCAACGAAATTACTTTAATCAGTCAAATACAATACAAGCCTCTTGTCAAGAACTTAAAACCTAGACAAACTAAACGGAGGTGGTTTTCACGAAATCTCAATTACGTAGCGAAGTCACACACACAAATTCTAAAAATCTAGACCGTAACCCCAAAATCGATCGCGCGAAACTTCGGCAGCGGCAACCGAGGTATGGTAATTAACTGCACGGCTGCCAGCGAACTACTGCCAACTACTGTCTCGCCCGACAGCGCCAAAACGCTGGGAAGCCGCCTACCGCTGCCCCCTCCCGCCACACGCGTGACACCTGGCACCATCGGCCGATTCTCCAAGTCGAACGTGATTGGGTGCCGTCTCAAAATGACCATTTTTGGGCATAAACACATACCATAAAGTTTAAATGTTAGTGGAGGGGTTCCGGGAAGGCAAAACAATTGTGTGACGTTAGTATCGTATAAATATTAATGTCAATATTTGTCAATATTTATACACACTGGCAGATAACTAATGTTATAAGGAGTAACTTGGGCTGCTTTTATATTAGGGTTCCGAGAAAAATAACTCTACGCGAGCGAAGTCGCGGGGAACAGCTAGTATAAAATATAATTAAATTTAGAATTCGAACTCAACCCTATATATTAGCTATTACAGTTCAAAATGGCCAGTACAACAAAACAGCAAATTTATAAGTGATTATACTTATCTTCACGCACAATCCCTGACGGGGTAGCCAGAGAGAACAGATCGCCAAGTGTCACGATCCTTACATACTTCTTTCAGATTCATTATCTTCTTCATACATGCACGTCTAGGTATCCGAGTACTCTTGACCCTACCCTCTTCGAGCAATTTGCTCACATGGTCTTCGAAAGTTAGTCTCGGTCTACCTCGACACCTTTTAATATTAACTTTCGCGCTATATATTTTCTTCACCATTCGGTTTTCACTCATTCGCTCAACGTGCCCAAACCACCGAAGCACGCCCTTATCATATTTTGTGATAACTTAAAACTTTAACTTTCAAACCTGCCATATTGCGAATCTCTTCGTTTCGCTTTCGGTCGGCCATGGTAACGCCGCACATTTTACGAAGAGATCGCATCTCCACTGCATTCAACTTGCTTTTATGCTTCTTCTGGCATACCCAGGTTTCGCTGCCATATAACAAAGTCGGTACCAACACTGCGTTATGTATTGCAAGGCGTGCACTCTTCACTACGCCTTGCCTTTTGACTAACGCAGTCAGGGCACCATTGACTTTGTTCCCGGCAGCGACACGCCTGTCCACATCTAAATCACATCTTCCATCCCGGCTAAAAGCACTCCCCAAGTATACAATTTCATTTACCTGTTCTAGACATTCCTGATTTACCCATATTTCACACTTCGTTCTCTCTTCGTCCCTTTCAAATACCAGAACCTTAGTTTTATTAGCATTCAAACGGAGACCTTTAATTACACTTTCCTCTTTCATACACGTGACTAATGCCTGCAGTTCTGCCTCTGATGGTGCAATAAGCACTGCATCATCAGAATACAGCAGACAATTTACTTTTATGTCACCCAATTTCACACCCAAACAGCTATCTTTCAGCTTCTGTAAACAGCTGTCGAGATACAGTATGAACAGCCAGGAAGACATGACACAACCCTGTTTTACGCCCGTTTGGATGCTAAACATGGGTGACAGGTCATGCCCTACCCGCACACAGGCTTTACAGTCACAGTAAAGAGACTGCACAGCCCTTAGCAATCGACCATCCACACTATACCCCGGCAACAGTTCCCACATTATCTTCCTTACAACCTTATCAAATGCTTTCTCAAGATCCACAAAAACACAGAAAATCTTCTGGTTAGCAGCCAGAAGCTTTTCCGTGATCATGCGGAGAGAAAACATTTGATCCGTGCATCCTCTTCCAGGTCTAAATCCGCATTGTGCCTCCCATAGAAATTTTTCCGATTTCTCTTGCATCCTACGTGTCAAAACCTTCGAGTAAACTTTACTTGCTAAACTGGTCAAGCTGATCGCCCGATAGCACCCGCAGTCAAAATGTGAACCTTTACCTTTATATAAAGGCACAATGACTGCGGATCGCCAATCATCCGGGACATCCCCCGTCCGCCAGCACAAATTGCACAGCAGATGAAAGCTGTCCCAGACGCGAGGCCCACCATACTTGACCATTTCAGCAGTAACTCTGTCTAGTCCCGCAGCCTTACCACATTTCAAACTTCGAATCGCACGTTCAATCTCTTTCATACTGATGACCTCAGTGTCGTCGAGGTCCGGGTCTGGCGTACCAGTCACGGCGTCATCCCCGGATCCCTCACGAAGATCATCACACGCATACATTTCTCTATAAAATTCGCTCCATCGCTGCATGACGTCCGATTTTTCTGAGAGGACGTCATTAGTTCTCGAAAGCACTTTGATTATTATATGAATTATGATTATTATTAATTATTAATTAATTATGATAGGTGATATTTTTATATTTTAGCAGAAATGTGGTGTTATTACTTTTATATACTGAAAACTTTTTTTCTATTTCTTACAGAGTTTGGCGGGAGCATCGCGATAGAATTGTCGGATTCCCTGGGCGGTACCACGCATGGGATCTCAATTTTAATAATGGATTCCTCTATAACTCAAACTACAGGTAAATTTTGTTTACAAGCACGATATAGCATTTATATAGCGGCTAGTTGCGACTATTTTGTGTTTTAGTAATGACTCGAAAACAGCATGTGTTGACGCGGCGTAGAAGGGAAATACGTCTGTATCAGTAGTTCAATATTTACCTTTCTCAAAGAACAATACAATTTCTGGCTCCATGCCTTCGGGTTAACACTTTTGTGAAGGATAAAATTATATGTCTTCTAAAGGCTAACTTTAACGGATGCTGCTTGTAGGGGTTGGCCTGCTTGGGTTGGCAGTGAGTGCACTAATAAGTTTCAAATTTTGATTCGTCCTTTTTTTTGTACAACATAGATCATACTCCAGTTACCAACGGGTCTGTTATCGTTTTTCATTCTGTATATATTATGCTTTTTAATATTAACTTTAAAAAAACAGAATGAAATACCTTAATATTACTGTGCATCGTGCTCATTTCTCAAACTTATTCTAAGTATATAAAAAAGATACCAATTTCTAACCTCATTTCGAAATAGTAGAAAATGTAGTAGATTTAAAAAAATGAAATTAATTCACAAATTATTTAGTTTATATAATATTTATTATTTTCTTACTTTGAAGAAATAAATACCATAAACAGGGACCTCCACTCAAATAAACACAAAAAAAATCATCAGAATCGATCGAGTCAGTCTCGAGATTTAGCGAGACTAACGGACAGTAATTGATTTATATAATATATACAATATATGATTGGATAATGTATGTGTTGGGCGGCAGCTGCGAGCTGAGCATGGTGCTGACGGGCGCGGCGTTCGTGCACCGCTACTTCCTGTGGGCCTACTGGCGCGCGCTGCCCGCCGCCGTGCGCGACTACGTCGACCACTACATGAACTGCGAGGACATCGCCATGAACTTTCTCGTCGCGCACATCACCAGGAAGCCGCCGGTCAAGGTCAAACGTCACACCTCCCTTATACCTCCATTCTTTTTCTTTTTATAGAATATGAGTGACAAGTGAGCATACAGCCCACCTGGTGGTAAGTGGATACTGTGGCACATGAACATCTAAAAAATCCAAATTAATATCCCTGAGAACCAAGACGTAATGCCTACTATCCAGTAAAATGGGTTTACACTCACCATACGAAACACAACAGTATTGAGCTGCTATTTTACGCTATATCCTATGAGAGCGTGGTCCTACCCCAGTCAAGCCGACCCGTTCGTGCTACAACCATAATATAGCTGCAGTGTAACTACTACGTTCAAAATTTCAATGTTTATATTATTCCTGGATGCAATTCGTCATGTTTCAATGAGATATTCACCAGACCTGTCACGCTTGAAAGGCAGGTTGGGAAGCGATTTTTATTATTTTGGGTTCTTATCAGGAAATTGCTAACGATGAGATCTATGAATATCTATCGAACAGAGGGAAACTAACCAGGGAATGGACAGCAGCGTCTTCTTAATAGCAATTAGAAAAGAAACTGCGGTTGCCAACCCGCCTGCCAAACGTGGAAACTATGGCAAATATCCCACTCATGAGGCAATTTATACGGAGACCAGTGTTTGATTAGCTTGATTGATAATAATATTTAATGGTGTATTTTGCCTGGAAAACAAAGGCAAAATTCTTTAATAGTCTTTTTTCTGCTGCTTTATCAGCCTACAGCTGGACTCCTCTGCAATTGTAATAGAGATTGCTGTAATCCTGGAAGTACCAAACATTTTGCAATTTAATGTCCATCATGTTTACATTAAATTGAAGTACAAGCAAATTTATAGTCGATCTGATCGTAAGTGGCTCCTGCAGTCTATGGACACTTGCTACTCACTTCAAACAATAAAATCTACAGGTGAGTCGTCACCTCTGACTTATGAGGTAATCTATGGGGTGGCCTATGTTCAGCAGTGGACTTTAATAGGCTGTCATGAATAAATGAATCAATCTCTAAAAAAAATTTCAGGTGACATCACGATGGACCTTTCGATGCCCGGGCTGTCCGGTTACTTTATCTGCAGATGAAACGCATTTTCATGAGCGACATAAATGCATACAGTTTTTTTCTCAGGTAAAAACCTAATCGATTTATTAAATAGACGACAGTAAATAATTAACACGATCAATATTAAGAGCTCCTGCATTTCTCTAGTTTTCTACTGATTAGAGACTTTCTTCCAAGCTGATAAACAATATTGAGAAGGCTGTTTTCTTATAGAATAAGGGTGACAAACGAGCACACAGTCCACCTGATGATAAGTGGATGCTGTGGCCCATAGACATCTACATTTATCCTCGATTAAGAATCAAGATGCAGATGCGTTGTCAACCCTGAGGACTAAGATGGTATGCGTCATTTCCAGTAAAAAGGGTCTCTGTTTCTCTACACTCACCATACGAAACAGCAGCATTAAGCTGCTATTTTACGCTGGTATTCTGTGAGCGCTTAGTCACCAGACCCATCCGTTCTGCAACCCTAATATAGCTGCCACGTAGCTCTACCACGTTTAACTAGTAGCGGCCTAAGTAGCAAACGATTCGTATCATGAACTCTGCATCTTTTTACTGATTTATTATTACACTAGCTGTTCCCCGCAACTTCGCCCGCGTGGAATTTATTACGATTGGATTTCATGGGATTTAATTTTTTTTTGCAAGGAACCTTAATTCGTTTTCTAAAATAAAACAAGCCTAAGTTACTCCTTATAACATCAGCTATCTGCCGTTGAAAGTCCCGTCAAAATCGGTTCAGCCGGTTCGAAGATTAGCCGGAACGAAAAGACAGACAGACAGACAAAAAATTTAAAAATTGTTTTTTATTATAAGTTCCGTATATACTTTCATATGTATTTAGTAAAAAGCTTTTATTTTGACATTACGAACAGACAATTCAATTTTATTTATTTGTATAGATAAAAAGGTTATATTAATATGTAGATTTTTTTGTATCGCATGGTAAGCAAGTGGTTTTCCGACCATACTTTATTTGAAATTTGTAACTTTAATTACTAACTCGTTCGTGTATGTGTGCCGAAGTGACAGAATTTTACTTTTAATTCGTCATTTTTAATAGAATAGAATAATTTTCATTCAACATAAGTTATAAGTATTTCTTATTGAAGGTATTTTTTTACTTTTACCAGTGGTTCGGAAAAATCTTCTGTCTTGGGAAGAATCAGCAAGAAACCTAGTGAAACTTTTTTAATATTGTCTATACTATTAAATTGCTTTTAGGAGTTCTCATCGGCTCACAAACATCTACCGCTGGACTTTAAACACTCCTATAGTAAGAGGGATAAGATAATTTTTTACTCTATCACGTCCCGTGGGATTTACTAGGGCTACTTAAAGAAATGTGAAAAAAAAAACTTAAGGTCTCCGATAGATATAATAAGTATTGTCTTGTATTTTTACTATATATAGAACAAACAGATCGACGGTTATCCGTCGATATTTGTTCTACATCTATAGGATATCATTAGGTATTAGTTCTACATCTATATGACATCATTAGGTATTAGTCCTACATCTATAGGACATCGTTAGGTATTAGTTCTACATCTGTATAACATCATCCTACATCTATCATCAATAGGACATCATTAGGTATTAGTTCTACCTCTATAGGGCACCGTTAGGTATTATTTCTACATCTATAAGACATCATTAGGTATTAGTTCTACATCTATATGACATCGTTAGGTATTAGTTCTAAATCTATGGGACATCATTAGGTATTAGTTCTACCTCTATAGGGCACCGTTAGGTATTATTTCTACATCTATAAGACATCATTAGGTATTAGTTCTACATCTATATGACATCGTTAGGTATTAGTTCTACATCTATAGGGCATCGTTAGGTATTAGTTCTACATCTATAGGACATCATTAGGTATTAGTTCTACATCTATATGACATCGTTAGGTAATAGTTCTACATCTATATGACCTCATTAGGTATTAGTTCTACATCTATAGACATCAATAGGTATAAGTTCTACATCTATAGGACATCATTAGGTATTAGTTCTACATCTATAGGACATCATTGGTATTAGTCCTACATCTATCATATACAGGACATCTTCAGGTAGTATTAGTTCTATATCTATAATTAGGTATAAGTTCTACATCTATAGGACATCATTAGGTATTAGTTCTACATCTATTTGACATCATTAGGTATTAGTTCCACATCAATTTGACATCATTAGGTATTAGTTCTACATCTATAGGACATCGTTAGGTAGTAGTTTACATCTATTTGACATCATTAGGTATTAGTTCTACATCTATACAACAGCCGTCGTCCGTTGATCCAATGATAGAAAAGTAACGTCGCTGTGAATGCTTGGCCGCTACAATCAAATTCCGAAACATCTAGTACTGTGATCGTATATCCTAACCGTGGTTTGAATCGTGAGAGTAGTTGCATTTGTAAGAATAAGTGTTACACATATATTCTGCTTGCAGGTTATGGGCTACACACCTCTGCTGTCAACACAGTTCAGAGCCGACTCCGTTCTCTTCAAGACGCGGATACCTCACGATAAGCAGAAATGTTTCAAGTTTATATGAGACTTTTGTTACCTTTGTCTAGACAATTTAAGTGTATTTATTATTGTATATGGATCCATGTTTAATATGTCTATTTGACTAATATTATAACCAAGCTTTCTTTCGGATTTGAAGTTGTGAACGGCCGTGTATACCGGTGACTACTTTGAATGTGATGGAACAGAATGATTTGCTTGAAATAAGTGATTTGCTTTATTAAATAATTACTTGTAATGAATGTTACACAATGTGATTAGTTGTAATGTTGCAATTTTTTTATCTAAATCAGAGAATTTTAGAATTAGAGAGCAAGGGTAATGTTTACCAGATGTGTACTATTGTTTACAGATGTATTTATCTATATATGTCTTCATGGATGTTGAAATGCGTGACGTCGTTATATTCGCTTTCGTCTCAGGCTGGTCAGTGTCAACTGTTACGGACGAACATAAGGTCTGATCGGATACTTGATAAATATAAAAACGTCTCGCAATAGTGACTGGCGCTTACGTGGCAGACCCATGCTGCAGCTATATTGTGGTCGTAGCTCGAATGAGTCGGCTCGACAGGGTAAGGACCACGGTCTCACAGAATATCAACGTAAAATAGCAATGCTGCTGTATTGCGTATGGTGAGTGTAGAGAACCGAAGACTCTTTTTACTGGATACAAGGCATTCCATCTTATTCTTCAGGGGTACCGACGCATCTGTATTTTGATTTTTAATCGAGGATAAATGTAGATGTCTATGGGCCACAGCATACACTTACCATCAAGTGGACTGTGTCTTCGTTTGTTACCTTTATTTTATAAAAAAAAACGTGCCACAAAAACAGAATTTTGTGGCACGAGGCTCATAGCTGTTGTCAAGCGCGACCGGGCAGCCGAGGCGACGCGGTGACTCGTTTATTATATATCAATAAAAATAATAAGCGGGCCGCAATTTATAATAACTTTAGGAACACTGGTTTTTTTATCAACTCTCGCATAACAGACTTTAGTAGGCGGTTGCTTACTGTCTGACAAACTGTATTTTATTTGTTAATAATAGTAGATCACTAAAGTGGAGTTCTTTATTTTTTTTAGTAATAATTTACTTGTGCTAGTCTTTACATTTTGTTGTTTGGTAAATCATGTGTAGAAATTAGGTAAATGAAAATGTCATGTCTACTAACGTATATTGAATGGTGCTGACAAGATTTGTTTATGCAAACTTAAGAGAGTTTGTATGATAAACATAGATCTGTAATATATAATATTGAAAATAGTATAATCTTTACAATTACAACACTTCATATTTATATTTATTCGATTTATTCATGGTGTGTGTGCTTGATGCCAGTAGAAATAATAAGTCTTGGAGAGAATTGGGTAAAGTTCAAATAAAATATATTTATAATATGGCCCGAAGGTCACCCCAGCTGCAGATGTCACCCACCCTGCTTTCCCTGATATTATTTTATACATGATTTCGTATTTCTGACAAAGTGAATAGAATATATAATAATTATTCGAACTTTACTATCCTTAGTTTTATTGGAATGCAATCAGTCACTACTAGTCTTAGCTATGAATAAATCGAATATACCCAAGTTTAACCGACCTCATCCAGCTGCACCTAGGTGTAGCCGGCTTCAGCTTTTAGCCTTAATATATACATGTAAAAATTTGCAATTACATAATTTTGTATATAAAACTTATCATATTAAATATAATTTTGCATCCCAAGTTGTCCCCAGAGTTGTGAAAATAATTACAAATCATCATTTGATTGACCAAAACCAAAGTGTTTTTGGAATTTAATTATTTAATATTTTATTTTGTACATATAATAAATATTACCTTAAGTAAGTAAGTGATTTTTTTATATTTTATTTAAATTCATATTAGCAAGAGCGCATACACGATGCGATGCATAAACGCAACCAACATAGCACTATCTACTGTGCATTTTAGCGTCTACCATATAGTCCACCGTTGCTGTGTTACTTTAATAATTTGGGTATGTAGATGTAGAGCGTGCGGCTTCCCTCTAAGTAACTATGCATTCTACGCGAGGAAACTCCGTTTGTGCCTTCACTTGTATTTTGCGTGCACCATAGTATTTTTTATATATGTATAACGAAAATGTCGCCAATGTGAATGCCTGTAATCGTTAAAATAAGGTACAGATTTTTTTTTATTATTTATTATGTGCTGTTTTTTAAACATTTTTCTTATATTTGTACAACGTTTATAATCAGTATGATTTTGGGATATAAATATTTGAAAGCGCAAAAATTAGTTAAACGTAAAAAAAATTTCAGGTACTTACATAAAAATTTTATGCGTTCGTTTAATCATATTCTATTAAAAATACATAATATATTATAATTACGTGATTTAGGGAAGATTTTTCCAGCTGATAGAAACAGAAACAGAACAGAGACTATTTTATTCAATATAGATTATAAATATGATATAGATATATAATATATAGAACGTAGTAGAGCCATGCTGCTAGCAGCATTAATAGTATAGTTGTAGCACGAATGGGTCGGCTCGACCGGGGAAAAACCACGCTCTCACAGAATACCAGCGTAAAATAGCAGCTTAATGCTGCTGAGTTTTGTATGGTGAGTGTAAAGAACCGGAGACCCATTTTACTGGAAAAGAGGCATTCCATCTTAGTCCTCACGGGACAACGCATCTGCATTTTGATTCGAAAAAGAAGATAGATGTAGATGTCTATGGGCCACAGCAACCACTTACCATCAGGTGGACTGCGTGCTCGTTTGTCACCCTTATTCTATAAAAAAAAGTGCCATTTAAATGCAAATTATTAACATTGAACCAATTTACTAATTTAGATAATAGCATTATTTACTTCGTCATATTTTAGCAATTGACGACTTAATTTGAAAATTAAAGAAGTGTCATCAGCAAATAATACTATATCATGGTTATCTCCTACTATGTAATGTAAGTCATTAACTTACTAACTTACTTATTGGAAGTCACTCTTTTGTATAATTACCACTGGTTCGAAAAAAAAACCTCTGTCCTGGGAAGAACCAGCAAGAAACCCAGCGGGACTTTTTTTTAAATAACAGCTTACAATCATGTATGTTACACAAATTAACAACACAACAAATTAGAAATAGCTTGGTAGCGACCACCTCATTTCCAGGGGTGATTATCATCCATAAATTCTTTAATATTATAATAACCCTTTTTATACAAACTTAGTTTAATAAAGTTTTTGAACTTTGAGCAGGTCAAATTTTGTATATTTTCTGGAATTTTGTTGTAAAAGTGTATACATCGCCCCAAGAATGAATTACTGATTTTTTACTGAATTATTGATTAAGAATGAACACTGACTCGATGGAATCGAGTAACTGGTACTATTAGCTTGTGTTTGTTACTAGTATTTACAAATTGAATATCACTTATTTTTGTAAAACTACTTTTATTTTTGTGTACGAACATTACATTTTCATAAATGTATTGAGAGGCCAAAGTTAATAATTTTTTAATTTCTTTTTTAAATTTAATTCCTTAAATGTTTGTCGCAGCGACTTTTTAGGCTTTAAATCATAAATTGCTCTTATGGCCCTCTTTTAGTGATTTTTATGTTGTATTTTATCCTAAATAATTTAATGTTTGATGATTGAAAAATCAACCCTAAAAATTGTAATATAAGTTTAAAATTTAAATAAAAAACTATGTTAACTGGAGTGCCGTTTATAATAATTATTTATGTATTAAGTATTTTACTTAATGACTGCGTGGCTTAGTAGTCAGAGGCTTTAATGTCAGCCAGCGTCGAGGCAACAATTATTCAAAAAATAATTATTTGTGTACATCAGTGGTAGCTCAGAGATAGGCCGCTTATTTTTATATTTACCACGTGAGGAGCCTGATTCTATCATCGGTGCCGGTAAAGGAATTCCCTTTCCATGGTTGTGAGGAAACTGAAATGTTCGAACAATACAGTTCGAAGATAATAAAAAACTGCGGTTGCCATTCTGCCTGCCAAGCGTGCCAACCATAGCAAACATCCTCATATGTATAAAGCAATCTATGGGAAAGGCCTATGTTCGGCAGTGGCCTATGATAGGTTGACCCAGCATTAGGGCCTTCACCAGCTAATAATTTATTTCGCAAGTTGTTAGTTTTAGATTTGATTCTTGGATTTCATCTATAAAAACATCTACTGGCTTGTGTGTCCTGCGTGATTCATAATTTAGGACGTCCAGCGGGAGGACGATCATTTTCAACATAACATTTTTTTTTAACAAAAATGAACATTCTCATAATGACAGTCGATATTTTTATTTATTTTTACGATATAAATATTATTTAAGACTGATACAATTTTCTACTAACAATAAATGAATTTTATCTTAAATTTCAATATTCATAGGTGAAAATCCTTTGTTACGTAAGCGAAATTGTATACAATTAGCATGATATACATTTGCCTTGAAAAGTTGAAAGAATGATTGTGCTTCGATATCGAATAGTGTTTAGTTGTAATATTATATACTTAGAGGAACGCAACAAAAAGGAGCTTTTTTATAATTATGTTCTCAATAAGGAAAGGTATATAATGTGTTGTTTTCGCACATCACACTTGCAGATGTTCATGGGTGGGGGTGGCGGCAATCACTAACCTTCAGGTGAGCCGTCTGCTCGTTTGCAAACAAAAAAAACAAATCTTATAAACCAAAAAATTATAATAGCCTAGTGTAAGGGAAAGGAGCACTATTAAAAGATAACTAGCTAGACAAAGCGTCTGATCTATTTCATTTAAATGTCTATATAACACGGCAACATTATCGTTTTACTTCGATTTATTCGTGGCATAGCTAAAACTAAGCCTACACCTAGTTTTAGCTTTTAGTTTGGTAGCGTTGCCTGGTAGGTGTCGAATATTTATTTAATTAATAAATTATCCGGCTAAGTGTAATAAATTTTATAGTAAACGAATATTGTCAGACCTACCAGTATATATGTCAACCTCTTGCGTTGCGTTCA